ACATATACACACCCGTACGTACGTACACAACCGCAGACACATACACCTACACACACCCATTCACGCGCACAAAAATGGTAAATTCGGAATCATTGACGTAAGGGGTTTTGTAATTTATTTTTTTTTGGCCAAAATTAAATTCTCGATTTTGTATCGTGTTTTGACAATTTAAGCGTAAAACACTGTAATTAAGATAGTACATTGTTCGTCGTGTCACTTAATTTCCTGTTACATATTGTTTCATTTTTATTATTAAATAATGTTTAAAACTTTCAATCAAAAGAACTAAAATATATTTATACTTTTATAATTATTACTGTTGCATGTGTTATTGTTATTATGAAAAAGATTACACAGAATTATGAAGTAATTAAAAAAATAATAATGTCGGCGTCATTTGATGTACTTTCTAAAAATTATTAATTGACATTACTGTAGATTGATAAATCCAATGATCTACACTTTTGCCATATTTTCCCCAATATTCAAAAAATCTATATCTCATTAACTGCATTTTAATCTCATTAACAAAGTTTTCATCAACGTTTAGGAAGAAAATAAAGACGTCTGTCTTTCTACTATATTATAGGCAATCATGCATTTAATATTAATTTGTTGGTCTTTTAAATTGTATTTTTATAGCTATTGTATATAGTTACATTTCCGGAATAAATAAAAAATATTGTAAAAATTTACTATACGTGTTTGTTTGTCTTGTAAATAATCAACGTTTTATAACAGACTTTGTACAACAACATTCAACTCCCTGGTGGAAGCCTGCTAAAGTAAATTTAAGTGATGATACTTGATATTAATTAGAAAGGTAATTATTACAAAAAAATAAATATCTACTACAATATTATAATAGAAGAGTTTGGAGATGTAGTGTACCTGTAGGTAGAATTGTAAGTCTGATGGTGCTCCTCAACAGTGGGTGTTTGGTCATCGCTTTCTTCAGTGGCTGCAGCAGTGACGTTGTTGGTGGGTGGCAATAAGATAGTTGATGTAGATGATGACATGCTACATTCTGCTGATGTAGACAACGCAGTGAATGATACAACGCAATGAGAACAATAATTTTTTATAAAAATGTTTGCAAAGAGCAATGGAAGTTGAATTAGTTTAGAATTCCTACTGTAAATTTTACAATTAAAACTTTTTTTTTTTTGAAAGGCACAAACATTGATTTCAAATTTACCCGCAGGCCTTGAAATTCCAACCGTGGCAGGCAGGTTTATCATGCTGTCTGGATTGTACAGCATATCAATGTCCTCCTGAAAATGGTACAAGGGGATGTCATCAATATTCAAAAAACAAATTTACATGAACTAATTGGCGATTATATGCTATATTCCATTTTTTTAAATATCAAAATATATTGAAAATGGGAATGTTTGAATCTGAGACAACTATACTCTATAGTTCTATAGTTGTCTCATGTTAGAATATAGGTTTGACTTCTATAGTTGTCTCAGGTTTGAAATAATAGCACTCACTGAAGTGGTAGAGAAAGTACTATCCAGTTGTGGATCATACAACACAAAATTCTGAAATTAAAGAAAAAAAATTCATATAATATTCAAGCCTGTCTAAAGTAATATATAATCTTTATATTCGAATGTAGTTGCGAGTTGATAGCAACAAATTAATAATTAACAAATTAATCTGATATTACAAACTGTGCCTTGTCGCACCATCTACATTTACTATCAAACGCCTTTATTCTGCTAAGTTTAAAGAAATATGTTTTTGTAATAAAAATTGCGGTTTAAATACTGTGTAAGTAGGCCTATAATACCGCAGTCAACTAGTGTTAAAAATAGCTACAAAATGAAAAAAAAAGTAAAAAATCTATATCAAGCAGATATCCTAACACGCTCACGCTTGGAGCCTATTTTGAGATATGCCGCTGGAAGGGCCCACACTTGAGTCAGACAAACAAACGCTGCTAAGATCATAAACTCTCATTTAGATTTAAAACATTGAATAGTTTAATAAAACCTGATCAGTACACATAACAATGGAAACAAAACAACCACTGAATTGTTCATATCTTACACTGTTTGTTTCAAAAACCCATACGACTTGTGTTCAAACATATAAAATATTTAAAAAGATGGTCTAACCTCTGATGTTATGGACTCCGGGATTGAACTGTAAGTGCAGAAAATCGAATTTAAAATCATTCATACCTTAACAAAGAAGTGGTGTTGTGGGCATTGTTTACACTAAATTTTCAAAGAGTATTTGTGACATTGAAGAATGGAAGACAACTTTATTTTGGAATGCCCGCCCACAAATTAAATTTCATCTTTAAACAGTTGTAGATTACCACATCTTGTGCAGTGGTGGATGTGACTTTATTAACAACTCAATTTATAC